ATTACTTTATGTCTGGAAATGATCATGGGTTTTAGGTCTCAAAATACTTTTTACATGTTGATAAATACATATTTACAAAACCTCAATAATGCAGCAAAGTATTAAGGCCACTTTGTCTTTTCACAAACTGAGGCCAAATTCAAGTGACTTCTAAGTCCCACAAGAACAGCTAGAAGTTTAACTCTGGACTCCCTAATCCAGTCTTCTATATTAAACACATGAGCAAGAAAAACTTTTAGATTTTATTTTGTTAGCAACATAAAACATTTTCCAATGTGTTACCATCTTTTTGCATGCAGTATCAGGTAATATGGGCATGCAGCCTCACTGTTTTTTTCCAGGTCATAAATGATGAAAGGGTAAAACCCATAGAAAAATTAGGAAAATACACTTAGCAGCCAACACAAGCAACGCATAGGAAGTGCTGTAGGCAATTGGGTTTAGAAGTATAAACATCACATTAGTAGACCCAAGAGATAGCATGATGTAGCCACACCTGGAGAGACACTCTCCTATTCCCTCCCAACCCACTAATGAAAACAAGACTGAAGCCAAAATACGAAGATTCAACTATACAACATCATTTTTGGTCTCAAAGACTAACTACATCAAACAGACGTAAAATAAGCTGGATTCACTTCAGCCAAAATATGTTTCCACTTGAAACAAGATTGAGTTCTGTCTAGAGGACCTTGGGGTTTTACTAGGTGCTGTAAATCTGTTCAGCAGCTGTGGGTGGCACCAGTTTCACAATAAAGTGGACCATGGAGTAAGTAGAAAAAGTCCTAGGTAAAATAACTGAAAGCTGAACAATGAAACAATCATTAATCATTCATAGTTATTTCCTGTGGGAAATATGTGCCCTTATTATCTGGATATCACAATGAAATATTCACATTAGTATGTGGCTCACAAAATACCAAGCACTTTCACTAGCTAATCATCTCTCAAAAATACTTTAAAAGAAAACCCACAACCATAGAGAACTCAAAAAAAATAAACTACCCCACAATCACCGTTTTCTCAAGAAAATGGGTTAAATAACCAACACTTAAATTTAAAAAAAAAAAAAAAAAAAAAAAACAAGCAAACAAACAAAACAAAAAATGTTCTAAATATTTGATTGCATCACGAAAGTAAATGGCTATATTCCTGTAACTCTGAGCATGCACAAATCTCCAAAACTATTCTAGCTAAAGGCTGGCAAATTAGTCCTAGTAGACTGCTGGTAAGGCCAGGGGCACATATATTGCAATGTAGACAGCAGAAACTCACCTGTGGGTGCTCCACTCAAATCATAACACCATTTATTCTAACACAGGAAAGGCAAACCAGCCTTCGGCCTGTTGCCTGCATTAATCAAACACCAGACAACATACTGAAACCAAAAATGTCATTACAGGGGTCAGGCCTGATTGAAACAGGCTGAAAAAAGTTGGGTGCTTGATCCAAAGGTGGCAATACCTTGCTCATGATCAGAGCGTGTTCCAGCAAGAACCTTACAGTTGACGAATCAGTCACCCAGGGGACTGCAAAATACATATTTTCCGGCCACATCCCATCAAATATCATTGATTATAGAGAAGAATCCTCCTCATGAGGCTACTACTACTCTGATTTGTGGCAGAGAGCTAAGGCTCACCTCTGCATTCCTTTTCTGAGCCATCCTCTGCTCACCTCTTCCTCCCTGCTACACACCCCCACTCTTGTAGCTCTTCCAGAATAGTTTCAGAGTAACCTGATTGTGACAGAATGATCCAACATAAGCTACTATTAAACGGTTTCTACACTAATATGGGTCCTTTTAGTAGAACCAGAGTAGAAAGCAAATGCACACAAAATCACACCTGTATACCTGGGGAAGAGGGGGAAAGACAAAGGGAGGAGCAGGTTGCAACAACAATTCCTTAATCTGGTTCAGCTGCATTTCATCTCGTTATAGCCTCAGTAACCCTAAAACTGAAAGCTGAAGCTTCTGTGAAGACTTCCAAGCATGGTACTTTCTGTCTATCTGACTAGAATAGCAACCTTGATCTTGGGCTGAATAAGTCACAGGGGAAAAAGAGAATCCAAAATACCCCTGCAGTTGTGAAAAGAATGAATACTATAAATACGGCTCCCAAAAGGGAAAGAAAAACAAATTAAAATCAAAGATAAGTATATAACTCAAGTTCAGAAGAAAACTTTCTATTTGACAAGTTCAGAGGAAATAATGCATGATTTCAAAATACTACTCTTCAGTAGTTTTTTTGCACAAAAATTGCTAAATTGCTTTCAGTGCATATATTTAAAAAAAAAGAAAAAGCTGTCAGTGTAAATAGTGCCAGAGAGCTGCAATTCTGAACGTGATGATAAATGTATCAAAGTACCAGTCCAAGCCATCAGGAGAATGCTACGATGAACTTTGGAGCATGCAGTCTCTCTAGTCCGCTTACATCCTCCAGCGTGGATTTAAAACTCACACAGACTCCAAATGCCCAATTCTGCCATAGTGAACTGCATCCAAGATTACAACCAGCCTTTTTGATATGTTGCCAGTAGCACAGGTTCCTACTCTGCACTTTTTGTTTACTAATATTTTTCAAACAGATTGCAGTCCTATCAATAAAGATGTGCCTTTTCTCTGGCCACAATCCTGCTCCTTAAAAAGTACCCATATATGGAACACCTTCAAAAACAAGTCAGATGCAGTTTGGGTGCAGACATGGTGAAGGATCCTTGATGATACTGTAGTAACTTGCATGCTCCACAGTCCTCAGTCCCCTCTAGAGGGAGTTCCCTAACTGCTCTAAGGAATGGAAAACTGTCCCAGACACTGCACAGTCCTTGGACCTCATTCTGCCTTTGCTTCTTTGATTTTCCCTCTGAATGAGCTGCATGATTTTTGGAAAAGGATATCATTGTCAGGTTTAGTTTCTTCAGAAGTTACTTACCAGTAAGCTTTTTTGCATTAGCTTGTCCTTACTTGGCCTCAAACAGGCAGCTTTACAGTGATTTAAGCAAGTAGATCTAACAATATATATGGATTCAAACCATGACATATTGAATAAGAACCAAACTCAGTCACCACTTGGAGAAAATTTTAAGGCTCAGCTTCTGAAGGATTCATTCCAGATCTGCATACGCCTCAGACAGAAAAGTCCTCCTTTGAAAACTGAGCTGAACATAAGTTCATCATGGCAAGAGAAAGCAATCTTTCCTGTACTGAAACGATTTGTTAGCTTCACCATTTAAAATCTGAAAAATCAAACTTGAATCTAGTTTTACAGACTTCATGTGGCCAGACTTTGTGGCCTTCTCTGCTCACGGTGGAAGAATAATATGTCATAGAGCTTAGCTGGGACTCCAAAAATGAACTAATTTTTTTCAAAGCAGGAGTGTATTTGTTTCCTTAACACAGCATGAAAACAGAAGAATGACCATGCCTGACTGCTCAATGCAATACTTCATTTACATATCTGATATCTCAGTTAAAATAGTTGTATATTTCTTTTCTATTAAGATACACAGACATCTAGTACTGGAAAAAAGTACTTGCAATAGAAACAAAACATTAAGACTACTCAAACATTTGATTCCTTTTCAGCTAATGAAACATTTTACAGGGCAAAGAAAAAAAAATCTCAGAGCAGGGAAAATCACTATTGAAATCAGCAATTCCTATCCTTACTCCAAGTACAAAGTAAGCCGTTACTTCTCTGTAGCAATACCAGAGTACTTAAATTTCTTATGCTGGCCAGTAAAAACTACAATCAAGGTTCCTCCTCATTTTCCCTGATTCATCTTTTATTTAGGTAACAGTGGCTTCTGAGTGTCTGTTCTTCTCCTTATGCCATTTGCTATAGAGGATATAACTTGTGGAAGGAAATAAAAGGATGCTTTACTTTCCCCTACAGATGCATAAGGCAAGCAATGACCCAGCTCTACATATGCTATATATTACAATGCCGTTATGCTTGCCTTAAGTGTCTCTTTCCTTCTCTTTCTTTGTTAATACCATATGGTATTAATTATCTTTGTGGGTACAAAGAAAATAAAGACTTCTTGAAACCACATTTGATTTATTCCTGACCACTGTAAAATCAGTAATAGAATACACTGTCAAACCACTGGCATGGAATGTGAATAATGTCTATCCTGCCTTCTGACTTCCCTCTCAGACAAACATACATGCAACTATACCACAAAATGTGAGGTGAGGAGAAAGAGTTATGCCAAAGTTAGGATTCACTGTAGTCAACCACTGCTAACACGAACTACCCAAGCAAGCTTCACAAATTCAGTTATTCTAATAAAGGTCTCAAGGAACTGACAATGATGGGCCTGAGGACAATAAAAGTTAGAAACACCCTAGAGGAAAAAAGCATGCCATTCCAAAAAGCCAAAGAAGTGAATCAGTATTTTGACATGGGCTACTGCAATGGCCAGTTAACAGTACTGCCTAGGTTACTAGGAGCTAGAAAATGAGGTAGTGGGGGAACGAGAGCACCAAAAAAACCATACTTAAAGCAAGGTGTTAACTCTTCCAGCATTTACCAGTCAAAGTGTTTTTCCGAATTAGAATCGAAACTATTAAGGTTCTTCACGAAGGTAGCAAATTACTTAAAAATCCACAATATTTTAAAGCTCTGTAGCTGAATATTCATATTACCCCACAGTGCTTAGATTGCTTCAAATGGGCACATGGGAAATTTGTGATGCTCAATTTGTGGTTAGTTACTAATGCAGCAACATTTTGCATTAATGAAACTCCTGATGTGCATTAATTACTGTACTGGCTTGTAACACATTTTTGTGCCTATTAGTTTGCTAATACATAGAATAAAAATAATCATGTATGACTCGTGCGAGTAGGGAAATGTAAGCCACAGCTCATTTGAATTTAGAAAAAACAGACTATATTAAGAAACCATGTAGTTTCTCAACAGTTACTCTTGTGCATGAGAAGATGCCATTAACAAAATGCATCAGCACATCTGAGTTCCTAGAAATGAACTTACCTTGGAGTCCCCAGAAATCGCTGTGATCTCAGTTGTTCAGCCACATACAAAGACGCTGCTGTTGCCAGTAGTTCTCTTCTTTCAAGATCTGTCAACTTGTGTCCTAGTTTTTGGAAAGTAATTTTAAAAAAATGAGATATCACAGACCAACACAGACACAAAAAGTAACAACTACCAGTAAAAACACTGCTCAGTCCTTATACATGAAAGTACGTTTTTTTCCCCTCTAAATTAAGATGAGGCTTAGCATAGCAGATCCTCTGAGTTTCAGAGTTTAAATTGCATGCTTTCATAAAGATCAGCCCAATTGCTAACACTGGTATATCTGTTAAAAACAATGTGACAACTGAAAGAAAAGAAACTGAACGATGCTGCAAGCATCTTGTTTCTGTTACTGACATGCCACTAGTTGACATGTTGTGCCTCATGCTGGTAAAGAATCCATCTGTACATTAGAACTTAAAATAATACAGCATTCTTTCTCAGCACTTTATCTTGCAAAAGCTAAAGATCTTCCAAGCAAAAGGGATAACACAACACTATAAACCCCAAAAATAAATAGGGATAATGCTACTTGTCAGCCCTGTGTCATTTGTGCAATTATGGAGTCAAAGTCATGTTTGACACTTTATAAGCAGAAAAGTGCTTAAAGGAGCCTACAATCTGAAGGCAGGCAACCTAACAAATGTTTGTGCTAAACGGTGCAACCAGGGTGATTGGAAGCAGGTTTTCTCCCAGCCTGGTCTTGTTCCAAGAAAGCGAAGGTCAATTAGAGGTCCAACTGTCCATTCAACAGGCTAAAAGAGCATAGTGACAGAACTCTGTCCTCCCCATCTTAAGGCTAGAAATGATACAACACACATTTGGTATGAAAAGGTGGCAAATAGGAGGCCAAGAATGATGTGAGAGTCCAGAGGAGCATCACCAAGATGATTAGAGGGATGAAGCACCTCCCCTATAAGGAAAGGTTGAGAGAACTGGGATTGTTCAGCCTGGAAATGAGAAGGCTTCAGGGTGACCTAATTGTAGCCTTCCAGTACCTGAACGGTGCCCACCAGAATGATGGAGAGAGACTATTTACAAGAGCATGTAGTGACAGGACAAGGGGAATGGCTTCTAACTGAAACACAGTAGGTTTAGATTAGACATTAGGAAAAAATTCTTTCCTGGGAGGGTGGTAAGGCACTGGAACAGGTTGCCCAGAGAGATGGCTGCCCATCCCTGACAGTGTTCAAGGTCAGGTTGGATCAAGCTTTTAGCAACCTGATCTAGTGAAGGTTCCTACTCTCCTGTCATGGAGAGTAGGAACCAGGTGATCTCTAAGGTCCCTTCAAACCCAAGCCATTCTATGATTCTATGAGAGAGAGCAAAAGGACAAATAAAGTACTCAGTTCAGAAGGCAACGGTAGGAAGTTAAAATTGACATAAAACAGGACAAAAAGTGCAAAGCTGAGTTGTCATGAAAAAAAAGAGGCAAACTTTATATATTTGGAGAGACATTTTGTACAGGTGAAAGCAAAGAGTGTTTCAAAGTCAGAGGGGGGGATTACACAATAAAGTTAACAAAAGATCAAGGCTGAGACTGAAAGACTTAGCTCAACTCAGTTATAATACAGCTCTCAAAAAGTGCTTTATGTGTACATATCACAGCAAATGTCATCATCCATGGCAAGTACAGATATCACATGAAGTGATGAGAGAAGAGCTTCAGAAGGCTGTATGTCCCAGAAGAACTCTGCCCAGGGGGAAACATTTGCTTCCAGTCCTGCAGCAGAGAAATAGTTACACGGATCCCTTCTACATCTCCACTCTACCATCAGCTCAGCACTAAGGCATGTAATGTAAATTCACATTCCCCAGTACTGGTTACTAACAAGTGACAATTTATATTAGTAGCATAAAATAAGACTAATATGAATTTCAAGAAAATCCAAAATGGAGGCTGCTGAAAAGGACTGAAACAGACTTTACAGTAACAAATCCACAATTTCAAAGCAGTATGTCCTCTGCACAGAACCCATCATTTCACTGGGCATATTAAATAGGGACAGGTAAAGAGGCTACTTAGAGTCCACCTCAGCAATGCCACAGTGATGGGAATGCACTCATTTACAGTCCAGCAACAGTACAAAGGAGTTACCGTGGGCAAAAAAAATGTAAATTTAAAAATAACAAAAGCCAGCAAATCAGCATCAATCTCCTTTTAATTTAGTCCATATTAACATATTCTGGCTAAATATTACTGCAACTTCCTTTCCTCAGTGTTTCTTATTTTTTTATCTGCCTTAAAATGGAAACTGTCTTTACTTCAACAAACACATGCAGAAATACAAATGCTGAAAGGTTGAGAAACTGGTTTGAGAAACAACTTGATCTTTCCTTTGCCGGTTACTAGAAAAACTAATTGCGAGGCAAAATCCAAAAAACATTGAACTTTTGTACTATTTGTATATATATACACACACACATATATGTATATAAGCCTTATATAATTATGCAATGCAACAACATGAACTATCTGGATCTGAAATGTGCCAATTCTCCAATTCTTTACACACAGTGAATAAGATCTGAGATCACTTTTTCCAAACATTGAATCTAAAATTGATGATTTGTTTATGTGTCTCAACTAAAGACACATCAGGAACCTGTCCTAAAGCCTTTGCTATTCAGTCCCCCTGCCTATCACTCATGACAAGACCATGTGACTAAAACTGCACGTTCCCACTTGCTCCAACACACACTGTTAGTATCAACTCATATAGAGGAACAACATAAAACTAGAAAGATTCCAATTCAAAGGTTTTATTGCATGACCTTCATCTTTGATGAAATCACTGACTGCTTTTGCGCTTGCTGTGCCACAAAAACTATTTTCTCCCAATATGTTCAACAAAAATCAAACTCCAAACAGTGAACAAAGATCAGTAAGTTGAAACAGGTTAATAACTGATCAAGAGTTACATTCATTTCTTCATTATTACCAACATGAAAAATATTTATCCACTTGGTCTCCATTTGTCACTATTTACATCAGTTGTGCCACAGATGTGGCAAGCAGAAAACCAGTCATGACTGTGGCATCCAGTGTGGAATTTTGGGGAGACAATATAAACTTTTAACAGGAACGTACCAAAATAAGGTTTTGGTCTTTTGCAATAAGGATATAACTCTACCACAGAACATCCTTAGCATAACTTTGGAGGCATACATCAGAAGTTTGATTAAAGGCTGCTTCCCACGGACGGCAATTTACCTTTATTACAAAAGACAGACTGCTATAAGTACCACCTTAGCTCTCTAAACTCCATTTCCATTTCCCTTGCTGTCTGCTCTTGCTCTGCTGCTCAGCAGAATTCTAAACAATTTTGAAGTCAAACTTTCAATTACATTACTACATTCAGAACTACACAGATGTCCCAGATAGTAATACTTTTGTTTCCCTTCAAGTATTATTTTAGTTTCAAAGCCACGCCTTGGGATGTCTTGAGATATAAGTTAGTATTCACCACCAATAAAGATATAACAACACAACCTTTCACACTGACCATACAGATCGATCTGAAAAGTAACAACTTTACTGAAAAGTAACAACAAAAGTAACTACCTCTGGAGCAGTTGTCCAAGTGCCCCCTGGATAGTGAATGAAATAAGTAAGTAGTAAACGTTCCTCAGCTTCCAGTATGGGAAATTCCGCCATTACTCTCTCCTACTCTCATCACTGCAGACTCCTGGGCTACACAGAGATTTCATCTCCACAATAATATGTGGAACTGATAGCTGCCAAATCTCTCTGCTTAACCTGGGATAGACTTCTGCATTATCACTATCACCACTGAGCTAAATTATATAGGGTAAATGCAAAACAGGATTAATGGTTACAAAATCAAGTCACAACTGAAGGAGTGGAAGCACTGTTGCTCATATTATTTAAAACTAGACTGCACATATCTATTACTACTAAATAGCAGAATCCTGGTCAGAAGGAAGACAAGGAAAAAAAGTATTTCTCTCTCATTTCCCTGATGTTATGATTGCTTAAATCAATATTATCCCAGTATCCCCCAAGCTGAGTCAAAAAGGTTCATGCAATTACTTTACATAACCAACTTCAAATTAAATTACATAAAAGGTCATTTTTCACATAACAGTCTTATTTGCATTTTGTCCTAGAAATGTGTTTCCTACTATCAATTACAGGGGAAAAAACAAAACAAAACAAACAAGCCCTGGTTATGTGCCCCAGTCTGTTACTTAATACTTGAAGAGTGACTGTTTTCTGATTGGGAAGAATAAAAATTAAAAGCAAAATGGGTAAGATGGAAAGTGCAATGCATAACTCAGATCCATACCAATGCTGGTAATCTTTAATATCATTCCTAGGTTGTGTTTTGGCTCAAGGTTTTCCCCAATGGATTTTGAATTTGACCATTACAGGTGGCATGTATACCAGGTAAGCTGAGACAGAAAAAGTTGAATATTATTAAGGGTTTAATTTCTTGTGATGTCGAGCAGAGCTTTGTTCCACACAGATGGTCACAGTGAAAGACAGACAATAATGTCTGTGTAAGCAATCTCAAACCATTCAGAATAGTGAAGAAGTACATCTCAGAGATCTCATGATCACTTCTAAGATCGATGCTACAGTATACAGAAACAAAACCTCTACTATTTTGCATTACAATGGAATTAGTGACACATTAAGAAATTGTTTTTTTGGTCTCACCTACCAGAAAGAAGTCAAATAAACTGTTAAGTCAACTTCTTTACAATCCAGTAGCTTCATAAAATGAAGACAAAGATTAGATTCTAATGAAGAGAAAATGCATAGAATGAACAGCAACAATCCTCCCTCTTCTAACAGAAACACAGACAGGGAAAGCTGCATTTCAGCCCCTCCAAGTAACAGCAAAAGTCTCCAGACTTAAAAGTCATATTTGCAGTCCTAATTCATCTAAATAGTGCTTTTGCTCATAAGAGAATCATGGAATGACTGAGGTTGAAGGGATCTTAGGAGGCCTTTAGTTTATTCACTGTGTGTCCCCCTTCCCACCAAGCAATCTCAACACCAAATTCAGAGCAGGTTGCTCAGAGGTTTGTGTAGTCAGGTCTTGAAAATCTCCAATTTATGACCACTGACTCTTGCTGTGCTACTCATTGAAGAGCATGGCTTCATATTCCTGGGAACATCCTCTGAGATCCTAGAAGGCTGTCATTAGTTCCACCCTAAGCTTTCTTGTTTCCAGGCAAAACAAGACTGGTTGTACCAGATGCTCCTTACAGGTTGTCTGTTCCAGTCCAGTACCACCCTTGCGGCTCTCCACTAGACTTACTTTTGTTTGCTTGTTTGTTTATTGCCATCTTTCTTACAACATGAAGGAGTTAAAACTGTACAGAGTACTCTAGAGGTGGTTTAGTTAAGTGCTGAGTTGAGCAAAGTAATCATTTCCTCCTATGACAATGTATCTAAAAGCCTTCCCTCATACACAGTCTCTGGAAGTAATACAGCATTTCAGGAGAGAGTTGCTTCCTCTTTATTCCTTTCAGTATAGGAAATATAACGGATTAACCTAAAGGATGGTCCATCAGAATTTCTGTTCTCCCTCTCCACCTGAGTGCAGTAAACATGCTAGAAGAGGGGAAGTAAACAATTCTCTGGTTTTGAGGTTGTGTTGTTTTTTTTTTTTACTTTGCTATATGACAGTCTCTTGGAAAACACCTCATTTTCATTTGTACATGATGCATCTCCCAAAGAGACTGACCACATATTTGAGATATTATTTAATAACCAGAAGGAGTGGAACATAAAAAAAAAAAAAATCTCAATATTAAAAGAGATATCCAGGCAAATATTAACTCTGAAACAGGCTGAATTAAATAATCTGATGAACAGGGTACTAAACTAAGGATCCTTGAGTTTAATCTTTTCTTTGTCAGACACCTCTTGGATCTTTGTGAAAACAGAGATACTTTCTGTGCCCATAAAATAGGGATAATAGACAGTATAGTTCCTTTCTCACCAGGAAGGTTTGGAAGTACAGTCTTCCCAGGTTGTTTGGAAGCTGTAAAGGGATGCATCTTACTCCCGCGTGGTTGGTAAACATTTCTTTCCATAAGTGAAGTGCTTGGAGGCCACTCTAAGACAGATGTATTTGTGTCACCTGACCTACTCAGTGTTGCTGCACCCACCCTCAGATCTGCACTCCTCCCAAAAGAGGCATGTGTGCTCAGAGCAATAATCTGCTACAGTTAACTCACTGCCAGCCAGCGCTCTGGCCATCCACCCTCACAGAGACAACAAAAGGGGATGACAGCAGCTGCTTTCCCACACTAATCATACTTTGCATAAGGTTCGTTTCCACACAGCTATTATTTTACAATAACTTGCAATAAAAACAAACTGGTTTTGTTAATGACTGTTTACTTAAGGAAGAAAGTTAAACTCTAATCATGAAAATTCCTAAACATTCCCATTCTAGATGTAATTTGAAGTGGGCATCGCAGGTTAATGGAAAAGCAGCCAAGATACTTCTAATAACTCATTTTAGTAAAAGTCTTCTATTAAAGGATTTATAATGGAACCCTTGAAAATGAGACTGGAAAACAAAGCATTTCTTGTTTTACTCTTAAGACTAAAGTTAGTATTTATATTTGAAGAAAAATGCACATAAGAAATGGGCCAGTACTTCATGCAGTCACCAGAGAGAACACAGCTGACATTCATTACTTATCAATGTAGACCAACAGTGGCAGTTGTACAGTTTACAAAAGAAACACACAGAATTGCACTCAAGCATTAATACACCACACATCTCTACTGAAATTGTTTTATTTCTTAAGTTGTCCAAATTTAAAACACTTCTGGTATAAATTCCTACTGTTAACAGCAGCACACATTTCCAAATCTACATTGGTTATGCATCGCTCTAATTTTTCAGATTATTCCAGATCTTTTTCTACAGCTATCATCTTTTATAAACAATATTAATACATATGAAGCTACTTAAATTTTCAAATCCTCCTACCAAAGTTTACCCTGGGTACTTATAAACTTAGTTGAAGTGACTAGAGAACTTAAATGCAAAGTTAATTTTTGCCTTTGCTTCCGTTGCTGAGCCTCTACCCTGCACCCTTGCTTGCCTTCAGCAGTTCCCACTTGGGTCTGTGGATTTGTAGAAATATTATTTAGTAGGTACTTAAAAAATATCCTTGAATTCAACTCACCATTTTTTTTTAAAGCCAGAAGTCTCCAGTGCAAACTACATAATTAAAAGAGCTATCAATTACTTTGGTGAGCTTTGAACCAGTACTCATGACTAAGTACTCCCGATTTGAAATACAATGCAATACATGCATTTTTCAATCATTAAGAAGGCTAAGGTATGCTTGATGTTTGATATGCGAAAGGAGATGATGGAGACTTTTCAAACAGCAGGAACAAAGTCGAGTCATTTCACACGTGCTATCCTTAAGTTTCTACTCTTAACTGTCGTAATATCTCTTCTTGTGTCTCCTGGTGTCTACAGCAAAAGCACATCTTTAAGAATCTGTTAATACAATTCTACTGTTTGGTTTATGTTTTTATTGTTCCTAGTTGAGTCTCAGGTGAGGCCCCCTCATAGCACAGTATGGACCTATCTGACACCTTGCATCCTTGCCTTTGTCCTCTATTCCCCTGTCCCCATTCCTAGCACACCTCTGACTTTGCACATTCACCAAAGTTCACCAGATTCACTCACAAGATAAATCAACCCAAGAAGTCACAAAAAAACTACCCCAACAAAAGCAGCAACAGTAAAAAAAGATGCGGTTTAGAGAACTGAATCTGCTCAGGAAAAGGACTGAAGAGTCCCAGAATATGAGATTCTGTACTGAAGTGTCAGGGAAGGGAGAGAAACCAGCTATAGCAGCACTGTGCCTTCAGAGCAGGTGATGAGAATACCCTTGAGTCTATGCTGGATGGAAGCCAGCTGAGTTACCCCAAGATTAGTTAAGTACACCTTAGCAAAGGAACTTTTCAGCTTGAACCATCGCAAGCTTACTGCCTCTCAAGGTGACTAAGGCATGGTCTCAGTCAGGAGCCAATAACAAGCTGGACACATTAATCCCACGTGTAAGACTGTATTACACACAGAGTTGCCAATTACATCATGATATAAAGTACTTCTGGTGCAAAGATTAGTCATCCACGAACTCACAGTCCTGAGGTAAGAAAAATCTGTTCTGCTTCTTAATGAGACTAGAATTTGGCGAGGTGCCAGTCATGTCCAGTGACTGCCAATCTGGCAGTGCAGTCTCCAAAGTGGGATGAGGGTTCTGCCACATTGGATTAATGACGAATGGACGAAAAAGAATCTCTGGGGGATTCATAAAGGATGCATGAATGATGAACTATAAACATTGTCTTTTTTTTTTTTTTTTTTTAAATAAGGAAGGTGTTCTGCATGATGAATGCCAGTAGAGATGAGATACCCGTATGGAAGGACTGAGTCTCTGACCATACAGGTCAAGAAAGCATCTAGAGCAGAGTGGCTAAGAGAGACGACAACCTTTTAAAATTTGATCCTTGTGAAAGGTAGCTAGTCTATTTGTTTTCTTATTTTTATATGAACTGTTGTTAAACATTTTTGAAACTGAGTAGTTTGTGTTTATGTTAACTAGTGTACAAGTTAATAATTTCAAGGTGATGCCCATTACTGTGTGTAATGAGTAATAAGACCAGATTACTGAAATACTCTGATAAAATGCCAGATCCTCCAGACAATGCTATAGTGAAAACAAAAGATGCCAAAAGGCAATTCTGAAGTAGCAACAGTGCTGAGTAAAAAGAAACTTTACCTGACTACAGTTAACAGTAGAAGCACTGTCTGTAATGAAGCACAACAGCGTGGCAGAATTGAATTTACATTTATTTTACATATTTCTTTTCATGTACAAATTGGTTTTCCTCACTTTGGGTGTATTTCACTTACTAGGAGTATGTATTTGGCCTTCTTGAAAATAAAAACATTATTTCAGCTATGTTATGTGTTATTTAAAAACTCTAATTGTGTGTATGCACAGATACATTTGAGGAAAAAGTAAAGACTGATTTGGGAACATCATCAGTCTAAAAATATAAAGGAACAATAATCAGAAACAACACTGCTCAAGAAAAAAAGAAACATTTCCAAATAGAACAAACCTTTGAAACCATCAGGATAGACTTCAGGAAGGAATTTAGTGCTGATGTCTCCTTGAACAAAGCGTGGGTGGATGATAACTTCTCGCAGTAAAGAAATATTGTGAGCCACACCTGAAAACAAAAAGCAAAGCAATACAAAATCAGATAAAAATTATCACAAGTTACATTAGGAAACAATTTATAAAAATATGAACTCTTATTCTGGAATAAATACTTGTTCACAACTTTGATACCATAGTACTGATGTAATCAATATAGATTTACCAGTTTTGTTTCACTCCTGCCTCAAGACACCTTCTCTTAAACACTCAGTTTAATCAAAGTAAACAATCTAAATTTTCACCTCATGAAGCCTAAGTCAAACACCTAGTTAAATCAAGGACACCAAGCACAACCAAGAGACTTTTAGCTCAGTTCCAGAAGATATAGGCAAGACCAGAGCCATCTGTTTGAAACAACGGATTAGCCACGACAGTAAACATTAACCCAATTCCAATGACCCCCGTACGGAAGATATGCACCATACTACACCCCGATCACAATAATGAAATACAGTAAAAAGTTTTACCACTTAACATATAATTTTACAACACCTGTATAATTTGTAACTCCGAAGAGACTCCTGTGGAACAAAGAAACTCATTGCTTCCTCCGTATGTACATTTATCCAACCCTGCCTGGTCAATTCCTTTATTGAATGCTCCAGTTCCCCTTTAGCACAGTTCCACAATCCTGTTAGGCATTTGGTCCCCTCCCCAAATTATTTCTTTAATTTAAGAATTATTTATTATACAGCCTTTATAGCCAGCTTTGTCCTTTAATTTCTTTGAATATTATACTACTTTATTTTTTCTGAACTTCCTCATCTGTTTTCATTCCACTTCTTAGCCTGTCTCCTCTTTTTTCTTTCTTTCCCTTCTTTTCACCTATTTTTGTAACCGACTAAGAAAATCAACTTCTAACAAATGCAATCTAAAGCTACACAGCTCAAAGTGTCAATCTAGTACTTGCACACGAAACAGTTAAGTCCACTGTTCCTTCCTCACAGATGAGTAAAAAGATTAACCTTCTCAGAGAGGAAAGGAACAAACCATATTCCGTTTCCAGCTTAGGCTGGAAAAAAAACATAATGAGTAGGTGTCAGCACAAGGTATGTACTCAAAATAGTTAACGCTGGAAAAACGATTGCTAGGGGATGATTTTGGAAACAGTGAAAATGTTCAAAAATGGATTAAAGAAACACTTGGCAGGACCACGTATAGTTCGTATACCTTAGTTCAGAGAGTGGGACTAGATGACTTTTTTGTTGAATAACTTTCACGTAACTAAGTTAGTAACTTAAAGCTAAACTGCACTTTGCCAGAAGTACTTGCAATTTAACACTGAATATGATGGTCATCAAAAGTCATTTCTCTGTAATACTAAATACAAGGAAGACTTTATAGCAGTTTGGAGAGGAAAAGTGGTGGAAAAAAAAATCCCTGGAAAAAAAAAATCTCTAGATCATTTAAACTGTCTTCTGCTTAATGCAAATAATTTTCAAAAAGAAGGTTCTTTCTCTTCAGAGAGTAGCACACAGGAAGGGAAAGTTTAAAACAAAAAAAAAGTTTTAGCTAGGAAAACCACCAATTTTATCTCACTCTCTTCTCAGTTTTAGAAAGAGACTGAATAGAAAATCTGAAGAGCCATGAGAGTTCAACCCGAGTATGATTACACAGAATAACACTGGCTCATAAACATTAATATTTCTTTAGGGAAGCTGAAACAGATAGCCAGTTCAGGAGCACTGCATGTGTGGCTGCAGGTGTTGATCTATTCCAGGTATGGATAAATGAGGAAGCTGCTATGGGAAAGAGGTTATCCAACCTCAGCTGTGAACATTCTCATCCCTCAGGAAATACAAACTAATTTACATTCTTTCCTCTCAATGTCAGAGGAACAGGTAACTCCAAATCACATTGCGTTTGCCAGGTCACATGAACTTTGGCTTTAGCTGCACACCATGAAGTAGAAAATGCAGAGCACATCACAAAACAGTTTATCTTGTAAAAATCTGTCTGCACATTCAGATCTCTTGTAAACCACAAAATTCTCATTTCAACTTTAGATATGCTTACTTACAAGTTATTATGATTGTGATTACATGATTATGCTTAATGATGACATGACTCAAAGTTATTTGCACTTTTTTTCTAAAAGCTCTAGTTTTATATAAATTTGAATAATCAAGATCTCACCAAAGCAAAGACAGTAGTAGCATAGCAAATGCAAAGTGCTGTGGCTATAGAAGGAAATTCTTTTGCCCTTCTTTTTCTTGTATTTTTCCAGTTTAGAAGCACGAACATTCTTGTTATTTTATATGCAGGCCTGCTCTAACAGTTTCAAAGCTTTTTTCCCCCTACTAGTCTGCTGGTGTGAATTTTCAAGCTCTATGTGTGGCCATCACTGAAACCACTTCCAACACATCGAGTCGGTCTCACTGAATCATGAAGTCAAAGCTTTAAAGACTAGTTCATGAGCCATTAAGTAGCACATTATGGAACCAGTTCAATCATGACATGATAAAAATTTTTCCATTTGATTAAAAGATCAGCCTCCTTCTGCTGCCTGCGACATAAACAAGCATTCACAGACCCTGATTTCATAAACACTGAATGAAACACTGCATCGCCACTAAGCAAAAAAATTAAAAATCTTATGCTAAATGACTATAACTCAGAAACAAAGAACGTTTGTCTTTGGCTGTTACAAATTCCCCCCAAAATTTCCAATTTGAATAGTAAGTTGAAATATCAGAGACTTCATCTATTAAGCACAGATTCAGGACTAATTCAAAGACAATGAGGAGCTTTTCAACACTGCCCAACTTTGAATCCAGGATTTAAACACGCTACAATGTGTAACCAGATCATCTCACATTTTTCTTTCCTTAACTGCTATAAGATCCCTGGTGAGATGATGGTTGATGACAGATGACAGAGCTTGTTGTCTCAACTGACTGCCCAAAAAGACCTAAAATCAAGAAAGTACTGTGAATATTTTTAATTATTTCCAACTCGTGTGCACCAAAAAAGCAGAGGCTTCTGTAATGTTTTAAACTCCAAAATTCCTCTAGTAAGTTCAACAGACAAGCCTAGGTGCTTGGGAAGCAATATGACATATATTTTACATATTCAAATTAAAAATTTAATACACAAGTTTCCCTTTAAAGTATCATGAAAGGCTATCTTTATCAGTCCTTGTGATCATTATGTGAGCAATGACTGCATGGTTGATCTCCTTCTCAAGACTGAGTTGATACCTTTAGTGATGTTCCAAATCATATGGTTTCTAAAAAAAAAACAAAAAAAAAACCAGTGTAATCCTTCAGAAGTCTAGAAGTTTTAGATTTGCAATTTAGCGTGACCTCTGTCAAAGTTCATAAGGTCTCCATCTGTGTGTAAGTAACTGCTAGGCTACAGAAATATGGACCCCTAGAGCAGCTTGCTCCTGACTACCTGCTGCTTCCTAAACACTGGCCAGACATTAGCCTCACACTCTCACAGGATCAAACAGAGGCTAACAGGCAGGGCTTATTTCATGCAAAGTTAGACACTAAACTGAAGTATATTGTATTTATGTTGCAGTGGTTTTCAGGGAATTTTGCTTTTTCTTGACCAGGTCTTCAGTCTGCCAGGAACAAAATCACATTTGTTAGCGTGACAAGCCATGACATTTTCAACAAACAAACAAAATCCTAAACTATATCAGTTTATTTCCCCCAGAAAACAAAATTTCACTTCAGCACCATCTTTTTTACATTAAGACTGATGCAGAACTGCAGTTACAGTCTTTCCTTTAAGTCAAAATGTAATAAAAAATAATGACCACTGCTCCTTGTACCTCTATTTTTTCATTTCACTTGGTTGTATTCTTCATAACACATTACATCACTAGAAGCTGTGTTTAAGATATACCTCATGGTTTTCAATTTTTACACACCATTTTCCGGAATGCATTTCTAAAAGAGAGCACACCACCATTTAACTTCTGGAGATCTAATGAAATTTTTAAAAACTATATATTCGTATGCTCTATATAGAATATGTATCCTGAGGTTCCATTAATTTTCCAGTTAAATTGTAGTTACTGCCTAATGAATACAGGAACACACTAAATAATCACACTGTTCCCCGAAGCTTATTAGCAACCCCTATTTGAAGAAGACCTCATTAAAAAAAATAAATTAGGATCAGAAGAAATTACTCTCCATACAGCCTTCCTCTATCTTACCTCCTTTCCTTCCTCATTCTCTGCCTTAAAAACTCTGCTAAGTATACCAGATTTTTCATTAACTTACAAAATGTAGCCTAACTCCTAAGCTGTCCTCACAAGAAAACGCCAAGACAACAATAAAATCAATGTTATAGAAAACTAATTTTATAGTAGGTTTATAAAAAGGATATCACACCACACTTTTACTCACTAAAAATCAGAAGTTGGAATGCCAAGGCACAAAACCATAAGCAATGTTTTCACTATAAATATTTACTGACACTAAACATATTCAGTGTTGATTAGCCTTTTTACAGTATTAAGCTTCTGTCATCTTGATGCCTGCAAACACAAATCTGCATTTATCCACGTAAACTTAATTGGAGTACTACATGCCTCTCTGTAGATAAGCAGTTGAACAGACTTAACTTGCTAATAATTTCAAATTGTGCTAAGTGGAACAGAAGTAACTTTATTTGCATACATACTGATTGCAAAACCAACATGTGGAGTAGAGTATTAGAGGTTTCTCTTTTCAAAAATCCAGCAAAGCTAAATTATCACTCAGCAATTTAAATGCTCAATAAGAATAAATGTGATGAAGCTTAGAAGGCATTCTTTTTCTATAAACAACATATGAAAAAAAATATTAGCTAAGCTCTGCACTGAGCATTATGATTACATTACTGTCCACTTAAAACAAGAACATTATCTGATTTGCACAGACTACAAAAACATCACTTTCAACACATGAACTTCTCAAGTCCATTATTACCACCCAGCTAGCCTCCACGTTTGCAATTCCAAAAGTTTTCATATTATTCCCCCAAACCCTCTACATTGAACTTTTTAATTGT